GGGGGGGGGGGCGGCTGGTTCGGGCTGGATGTTTGCATCCACGGCCTGGAGCACTACGTGTATGGTGGTCACACGGCGGATATTTAAGGTGGCGACTTGATATAGTGGAGGGGTTGTATTGCGTGATGTTGTACACGTGTAGGATTTTGTTGCAGCTGTTGATCAGAACGGGTTGTCCGCCACAGCGCAAAAGTTGCATTTGGGGTGGTTTTCCTTCTGTACGTTGTACGGTAAACACACAATACCTTACTTAGTAATAACGTCGTAAATGTCAAAGACCAAGCTCCTACTGATCGGGTCTGGGGAAGACGCAGCTGACCAATCACACACAACGGACTTATCTACACAGACGACATGCTCCCGATACTTTGGACCTTCCTTTATTAGTGCATCAGTACCTTGAGGTACGATGCTTCGTACCAGAAGGACGATGCGTGAATTTCTCCAGCTTGTCGAAACACAAGGCCACGGACGAGAATCCACATGAAGGCTTTTCCGAATATCTGATTATCATCGAACAAGTGAGGGTCCTTTGCAGACTTTCGCATTGACCTCCTGTCGTGGGTTATCGAGCAGAGAGATGTCTGTCATTAATACCTGAGGTACATTACTCAGTACGTGGACATGTCTCTCACCACATGCAGTTATCTGTTATCTTGTTATCTTCGGACCCCCCTGTCAGCACTCAGACCCCCACCTCCAGAGATAGGAGATCACGGGAAGTACCCCCCGTATTATAAGGTACCTAACCTAAAAGTAAGCTAAAGGTCTGGTCTGGTACTGGCATGATGCATCGTATCGACTTGCCCAACTCGTTCGTCAAAAATGGTAAAGAAGACGGAAACTGGATCTGTTTATTCCCTTGCCGTCAAAAGTGAGGAGTGTTCCTTGCTCAGGGCACGGCTTGGCCACCCATCACAGTGGCGGGTCAAACCTGAACCCTGGACGGGGGTTCCAAGTCAAGGGAGAAGATCGCCAATCAGTACGACGGAGAAAAGTAGTGTACACTTACTTCGTAACAAGTGTGGCCACCCACGCCAGACTACAACTATACCTGGTACGGAAGAAGTACCGAGTGGGTGGGACGGACAGGAGGCGAGGGCGACGGAGGACGGACGGATATTTATATTGGAAGCCTTCGCAGGTGCAGGTGCAAGAAGCGACCGGGGGTACTTCATTTTCATGTTACAACGTATCTTGCTTGGGTCTTCTGAACAGATGGAGATGGACGGGTGAATTGTACGCCGGAAAAGAAGAAAAGAAGAAAAGAAGAAAAGAAGAAAAGAAGAAAAAGTCGAGCATTTATTATTTATTATTAAGCCGTCTCTCCCCCAACCCACAACCCACAACCCACAACCCACAGCCGAACGCCCGCACTACCCGTCCCTTGCGCCCGCTGAAGCAGTTCCTACCCTCACCCAAACGAGCACCCAAACCACTCAATCCCAACCGGACCAGTCCGTTGCAGGCGCACCGTCAGTCTTTGATCAACGCGCCGCCGTCGCCTGCCGTCTGCCGTCACTCTTGAGACTTCCTTCCCCCAGTCTTCCTCTACCAAAATTTCTTGGACATCTCGCATCCTGTCAAATCCTTCTCCCTTCAGCTATTCTCACCCTTCCCGCTCTGCGACGACCCTCTCATTTGAACTTGCATCTCCTTTCTCGTCTCTTTCCTATCGCCTATCTCGCTCTCTATTGCGCCGGGGGGTTGTCGACAAACCATTGACGGGGTGCAGACGCGGCTTGGTAAACACCAAGCTGAAGGCCGCCTACGATACGATACATTGACCGATAGGTACCTTAATCACACATAGCGCCCGCCAAGTTCATCGTGCGTGGCTTCGTGGGACCCAAAGTGCCTTTTACTCGACGCTTTCTTTTTTCTCTTTTCTTTTTTTTTCTTCCCCCGTCCTTCACGGCCCGGTTATTAGCGACCCGGAGCGTCTGCCATCGTCACGGATCCGGCTGTGGGTCAGCACCGGCCGCGGCTGCCCGTGTGCTACACCACGGTGACACTATCTCTGCCTCTGCATCTGGGACGTCCAGCATTATCCGTCAGCCGGCAGCTTCGCCGGCACAGACAACATGGCGACAAGCGGCACGGTCGAAGGAATCGACCTTGACAACCTCAACTATATCCCTAAGCTTCCCTACAATGGCACAGGGGATTCAGGCGGCAACCCGCTTCAACATGATCTCAACGTGTGGTATGAGGTTAGTAGACATTCTCGATTGTCATGTCCATTATCTTTCGCCCTCATGTGTGATGTTTTTTCTTCTTCTTTTTTTTTCTTCTCTTCATATTTTCGACCGAGTTCTTTCATGCTGACCATTTCTCTGCCCCCTTGCACAGGCTGGTGACATTGCCTGGACGATGATGGCCACTGCTCTCGTGATGCTCATGATTCCAGGTGTCGGGTATGTTCTATTTCCTCCCTTCGTTTTCCCTTCCTTTTCTTATATTGCCTTCTTTTTGTTTTCCTCATCTCGGTATAGCTGACCCAGGCCCCCGCCCTAGGTTCTTCTACTCCGGACTCGCCCGCAGGAAATCAGCCCTGTCGCTCATCTGGCTCTCCGTCATGTCGGCCGCCATCACCAGTATCCAGTGGTTCTTCTGGGGCTACTCCCTCACCTTTTCGCACACGGCCGGGCCCTTCATCGGCGACCTGGCCAACTTCGGCTTCCGCGGCGTCCTCGCCCGGCCGTCCGTCGGGTCCGACACGGTCCCGGACCTCATGTTCGCCATCTACCAGGGCATGTTCTCGGCTATCACGGTGGCGCTCGCCACGGGCGCGGTCGCCGAGCGCGGCCGCATGCTCCCCTGCGTCATCTTCATGTTCGTGTGGGCCACGCTCATCTACGACCCCATCGCCTGCTGGTCCTGGAACCCGTCGGGCTGGTCCAACCGCATGGGCGGGCTCGACTTCGCCGGCGGCACGCCCGTCCACATCGCCTCGGGCTCCGCGGCCCTGGCCTACTCGGTCATGCTCGGCAAGCGCCGCGGCCACGGCACGCACGAGCTCAACTACCGCCCGCACAACGTCACCCACATCGTCATCGGCACCGTCTTCCTCTGGGTCGGCTGGTTCGGCTTCAATGCGGGTTCTGCCCTGTCGGCGAACCTCCGCGCCATCATGGCCGCTGCCGTCACCAACCTGTCGGCCTGCATCGGTGGCGTCACGTGGTGCGTGCTGGACTACAGGTTGGAGAGGAAGTGGTCGACGGTGGGGTTCTGCTCCGGCGTCGTGGCGGGGCTTGTGTCCATCACCCCAGGTTCAGGTAAGAAGAAAAAAGAGAAACGGTAGACGATAAAAGAGACCCGACTCACCCATTAATTAGGCTACGTACCCCTCTGGTCCGCCCTGATCTTCGGCACCCTGGGCGCCGGACTCGCCAACTACGCCACCAAGCTCAAGTTCCTCCTCCGCATCGACGACGCCCTGGACATCTTCGCCGTGCACGGCATCGGCGGCCTCGTCGGCAACATCTGCACGGCCTTCTTCGCGGCCGACTACATCGCGGCGCTGGACAACACGACCGTCATCAAGGGCGGCTGGCTGAACCGCAACTGGATGCAGCTCGTCTACCAGCTGGCCGACTCGTTCGCGGGCGGGTTGTACTCCTTCGTCGGCACCTGCCTCATCCTGTTCCTGCTGAACATGATCCCCGGGCTGCGCCTGCGGGCCAGCGAGGAGGCGGAGATCCTGGGCATCGACGACGCCGAGATTGGCGAGTTCGCGTACGACTACGTCGAGCTGACGAGGGAGGTGCTCAACGATGTCGAGAACGAGGCCGATAGCGCGTACTCGAGCATGGCGGTGCCTTTCAACCCGGTGGAGAAGAACCATATCCCGTTGATGGATGCTCGCACTTTTGCGGGGTCGTCTTCGCAGTATTCCCCCAACCCCTATGCGCAACCTCGATGAGGCATGGAGGGGGGTTGGTTGAGGTTGTGGTAGGTAAGGTAGTGGGTTCAAGCCATGGCCTTGACGCTTGGTCGGTTATTTATCAAGGTACCGAGATGTTTAATTGTATTTCATAAGGTACTTATATAAGGTACCTCAAGGTATATATGTTCTGCAACATGGTTGTTACCTGTATATTGACTGCCAGCGAGCGTATCCGTATGTATATATACACGCAGAAAGAAATATAGGGGCAAAATTAGGGCCAAATTTTGGGAACAGGCGGGTGACTGCAGTTGGGAAAAGCAAAGGGCATTACCCCCCTACATAGCCTGTGCATTGATTTTGGATGACTTGGTCCAACCAAATTGTTTTTAAAGAAACCGTCAAATAATTCCTTTGAGTGTCCGGAGAAGTTGACCTTTGGAATCCGCAAGTTCGTGATGGTCGAGGGAATGGCTGACATAATCGTCACTTTTGAACGGATACACGTGTAGAGCTTGTCGCAACCAATCAAGCGAGTTTCCAACGGGACCCCACTGATTACTGTGTGTTTATGCCCTTTACGCACTTGGCACGTGCTTCTGCCTGCGAACACCTCACGAACGAACACCTTACACCTCCAAACTTCCACAGGAGTGACACTGCATCTGCGTCTTCAAATAATGTGCCTGTACGAGCCTCGGTTATATATTCAGAGGTAACCCTCCTCAAGTACACTTTATTCTTCTTCTTTATCGTCTTTTTCTTTTTTCGGTTTCATTTACCGTCGCTGTACCTCGATCTGACATGTAATTACACCTCCAAGTCTCACACTCACACTACTACCGTCTCTCCTCTCATGACGTTTCCAGATCCCTCATGCACTTCAGGGAGCCATCACTCGAGGATAAGAAGGCCTTCTTCCGAGAGCTTGACCAACTGAGCAAGTTGAGCGACTCGGGTGGCGAAGATATCGATGGGGTTGGGGTTCATGACGAGACCGAAAAGGACAGGCAACGATGGAAGCAAGCTCTCCGGTCAAGAACCAAAAGAGCACCGAAGAAGGCTCTCATCTCTTCTTCGTCCAGAGAGAATATTCGATCCTCACCATCTCCAGCAGTAGCAGTAGACTCCTCTCGACCAGCGACAACTCCCATTCTTGAAAGAACCCCGCTGGCCAAGATCAACAGGCCGGCGAGCAGATGCGGTGATGCAGTCCAAGACGAAGATGGCCGGGGTCCAAGTACCACCGGTGAATCGCGCATCCCAGACTCCACGCGTGCATCTTCTCGCCGGCTACGTCTATCCAGGACCATCTCGGCACCGGCGCCGACACCGACTCCGAATCCGAATCCGCTGGCTAGACAGCTCTTCCCTCCCCGTCTGGTCGGTTCAGCCACATTCCCGGCCGCAGCCGCAGCCACATCCACGAACCCGAAGAAGCGGAAGAGGGACGCCGCCATCAAGCTCGTTCCCGAAAACCAACAAATATTCAAGGGCTTTTCCTTCTACTTCATCCCCAACGACGACATCGCCCCTGCCAGACGGATCCGCATCCGCAAGGCCCAGGAGCATGGTGCTACTTGGACGAGAGCTCTGAAGCAGGCTTCGCACATCATTGTAGACAAGAGCCTCTGCTGGAAGAACATCGAACCTATCCTTTCGTCCGCTAACGGCGCCCCGTCGGCCGTCCTGGTCAACGAGACCTATCCTTTGGACTGCGTCGAGTTCCGAAACTTGCTGAACCCCAACCAGAACCAGTACTACGTGACAGGTTTTCCGGACTTGTCGTCGAAAAAGCAGCCTCTGGTGGAGTCTGCTGAGCCCTCGCCCCCCGCCGACTCCTCCCTCCCACTGAAACCTGCTCCCAATAATCCGAAGCGCTGTGATTATGTACCACCTCCAGGGACTCCGTCTAGGGACGAGGAGTCGATGGAGAAGAGCGACAGGGAAGAAGGTCGGGAAGAAGATGGCAGCTCATCGCAACTCTGGCCCAGCACTTCCACGAATGGTATCTCTGGAGTGGAACGGCGAGGTTCTAGAGACCAGGAACGAGGCAACAGAACATCCGAATCAGGACCTATACAACGGGATGACGAGCTATCCGAGTACATCTCCCAAATGCAGCAGCTGAGAGGTTTGCCGTTGGAGGAAGACGAAGAGGAAGCCGGTCCCCACGACGCATCGGAGCAAGCCGCAAGCTCGGATGACGGCTCGGCGGATGATCGCAGTCCCAAGAAACAAAGACCGACCAGGTCCAGCAACCGTAAGGACATCACCTGGGAAGACAGGTTCGCCTGCCACAGGGCCGGCACCAAGGTCGGCCACCGGGAAAACCCCAACGCCCGCACCATCGAGGTGCTCCAACATATGTGCGACTACTACAGCCGAACCAACGACACCTGGCGCCCCATCGCCTACCGCAAGGTCATCTCCCTCCTCAAACGCCAGCGCACCAAGATCACCACGGCCGCGCAGGCCATCCGGCTCCCCGGCGTCGGCACGCGGCTCGCCGACAAGATCGAGGAGATCGTCGCCACCGACAGGCTGCAACGGCTCGAAAACGCGTCCAAGGACCCCGCCGACGAGGCCCTGCAGCTGTTCCTGAAGATCTACGGCGTCGGGACCGCCCAGGCCGCCCGCTGGGTGGCCCAGGGGTACCGGACCCTCGACGACCTCCGCGCGAAGGCCAGGCTGTCGGCGAGCCAGCGGGTCGGCATCGACCACTTCGACGACCTCAACACGCGCATCCCGCGCTGGGAGGTCGAGGCCCTGGCGTCCGTCGTCCGCGCCGCCGCCGCGCAAGTGGACCCGAACATGGGCCTCATCGTCGGGGGCAGTTACCGCCGCGGCGCCGAATCGAGCGGCGACATCGACTTCATCCTCACCAAGCCCGGGACCTCCTCCGCGGGGGAGCTCTTCCCGTTGCTGCGCGCCCTGACGCAGGCCCTGGAGGCGCAGGGCTTTCTCGTTGCGACATTGGCGGCCACACGGCATCGCCATGCGGGGGACGGCGGCGGCGGCGGCGGCGGGAAATGGCACGGGTGCTGCGTTCTTCCCTTGTCCGTGGCAAGCCGCTACAGGAAAAGCACCAATGTCAATGCCAATGTAACTGACGGCGACAACACTACTGCCACCACCGAGTCCCGGCCGCCGATCTGGAGGCGCATCGACTTCCTGGTCGTGCCCGAGACGGAACTGGGCGCCGCCCTCATCTACTTCACGGGCAACGACATTTTCAACCGCAGCATGCGTCTCCTCGCCTCCAGAAAGGGCATGCGCCTCAACCAGCGGGGGCTGTACCGGGATGTGCTGCGGGGTCCTGGCCGCGCCAAGGTCACGGACGGGGAGTTGGTCGAGGGCCGCGACGAGAGGCGCATCTTTGACATTTTGGGTGTTCAGTGGAGGGAGCCGCATGAGCGGTGGTGTTGATTCCCTTTGCCGCCTTTTATGTTATACATGATTTATGATGATGTACCACGATGATGAGTGGTGAGCGTTTTGGTTTCTTTCCGTTGTTGGCGTCAATGAATATTCCATACAGTCATGATTCCGGATAACAAGAGGCAGGATGGCCTGGCAGGTAAGAGTGTAGAGTGTACCTTGGTAGAAATCTGATCCAACTGTCCTCGACGAGATACATCGTGTATATGAATAAATGCTATCATCAGGGCACCTAAGGTACCTAGGTAACAGTTGCCGCCCCGAGTACGTCCTCATACTAGGTATACAAACACATAGTACTCCCAAATGACACCGAGTAGCTCGTAACTCAGTAGATACACAAGGTACCTAGATATATGAAGAACCTAAGGTACCTTTAGGTATCAATTTAACCCGTCTCGTAATAATTCATCGTTACATAACATCGCCCCCCCCCCTACACTTAATTATCTAAACATTAACCGCGCCATGCCCAGGGACGTTTTCACACATGTCTTCACCACCCCTCAACCACAGTGGCATTCACATATAACCCCTTCGCAGGTCTCGCCGTAATACCGTACTTGATATCCACCTTATTCTCGTCATACTCTTCCTCGTTCTTCAAGCTAAACTCGAACCGCCCGATCCAGCTAGCAAGGATGCAGGCAAACTCGGCCTTGGCGAAGCCCTGCCCAATGCAGCTCCGGGGCCCGTGAAGGAAGGTCATGAAGGCGTAGTTGCTACTCGCGCCGCCGCTCGTCGTGGCCTTCTCCCCGCCGCCGTCCCCCTCGCTGTTCTCGCCGGCCGCCGACGGCCCGGACGACGCCAGCCACCGATCCGGATTGAAGACGCCGGCGTCGTCCCCCCACAGGGAGACGTCCTTGTTGACGGCCCACGGGCAGAGCATGATGCGGGTGCCCTTGGGGATCTTCTGGCCGTTGAGGCTGGTATCGACGGCGGCCTCGCGGAGGGTCATGGGCACGGGGGCGAAGTAGCGCAGGACCTCGGAGCAGACGGCGGAGAGGTAGGGCAGGCGGCGGTCAATGTCGATGGCGGTGACGGTGGCCGAGTCGGAGCCCGGGTGGTGGTCGGGCGAGGGGAGGTGGGCTCGGATCTCGGCGCGGAGACGCGACTGCACGTCCGGGTGGAGGCAGAGCATGTAGACGGCCCAGGTCATGGCGCTCGCGGTGGTCTCGTGGCCGGCGGCGAGGAAGGTCATCATCTGGTCCACGAGGTTCTCGTCGGTGAAGGTGCCGCTCTCCAGGGCGACGGACAAGATGTCCATGTCGGGGAGCTGCTTTTGGGCCAGCTTCTCCTTCTTCTCGCGGATGAGGTCGCGGCAGGTGGAGCGGATGACGCGGGAGGCCTGGACGACGTCTTCGTTGCGTTTGACGGGGAGCATCTGGACGAGCCGGCCGGGCAGGAAAAGACCGAGGAGACCGAGGAGCTGGCCTTGTCGGGACGGCTTGAAGACGCGCTGGTAGGTGACGACCAGGGGGTTGTCGGGATCGCGGATGGCGCCAAAGTCATGGCCGAGCCCGGCGACACCGATGATGTCGAGGGTGATGCGCGAAGCCCAGGCGCCGATCTCGAGGACAGACATGGCGGTGGGCGGGGTCGTTGTTGAGGTCGGATCATCATCAGTCTTGTTAGAGTCGGTGAGGATCTGCTCAGTCATGGCGCGGACGCCGTCGACAGATTTGGACCAAAATACGGGGTAGAGGTCTTTGACGTGGCGGAATGCGAAGGCGGGCATGAGCTTCTTGCGCTGCAGCTTGTGTTCATCGCCCTCGGCAAGGAGGAGGCCGACGCCGAGGATGGTGCTGACGGACCACCTCACGGCGGCGGGCTTCACAAAGTCGTAATTACGAGTAACCAGTACCTCGGCCAAGGCCTTGGGGGACGTGACGAGGACGCGCTCCTGGTTGAAGAGGAAGAGGTAGCGGATGAGACCGTCGTGGCGGATGTTATTGACCCTAAAGAGGTATCAGGATGTGTGGAAGCAAAAACAAATAGAAAAAAAAAGAAAGAAGGAGAAGAAACCGCACTGCATACCATTCTGTCTGGGGGCGCCCGCTAGGCTGGCTTCTTATGGTGTGATACTGGCCCATGAGCCAGTGCCCCCCCTCAGGCCCGGGCAGTCCTCGCAGAGGAGAGAAGAGCTTGGGCCAGAGGAAGACGGCCCAAACGGCCCAAGCCAGGAACAAAAGGGACCAGGTGGCCGTGAAGGTGGCCAGGAAATCCCATTTTGAGCGGTGCGGATGCTGGGAGGCCAGGAAGATGGCGGTAGCCAGAGAGCTTATGGACATGAAACGCCAGGGAAGGCCCATGGCGAGTGCTTCACGAGGTGTCTCTGGCTTGGTAGTATGATAGTGTGCTAGTGGGCAGAGTCCCAGGAGATAGGGTGGTCGGTCACTAGTCAGTGGTCGGTCGCGCCGATGATGGAACCACACGGTGGGTTGCGTCGGACTCGCTTGAACAGGACGAGGCAAGTCGCAGGTTGTACGACGGGGAAAATAGGGCCCTTCTGTTGTTGTTGTTGTTGTTGTTGTTGTTGTTGTTGTTGCGGGATTGACAAACTGCAGCCCCTGTCAGCAATTCAAGACGTTATTTTCCTTTCTGCTTCTATGAAGCAAAGCCTGATGATATCGGTGGTAAAGCTGCTGCCTGTAGTTATAGGTAATAAATGTCCATCAGATGGAGAAGTGAGGTTTGAGATTGTCGTGCGTAATTGGTCATGGCGGCGGAGTTTCGTGCCAGCCAAGACGATGACAAGCCGACAAGGTGAAGAAAGTCGGAGATTCGTCTCCTCCGTTTTTACTGGGTTCAGTCGGGGACTTGTTGCCCCGACTCGACCAGACTCGTTCGCCTTTGCTATTCAATCCCCCCGACTCTCCGACCCGGTCGACTCCATTGATCGTACATAGGATCATCGATTGTCGGTGCGTATCGTGTAACGAACTTATTCACCCTTCCCCTTTGACTCTTCGAAATCTATTCAGGTCTGCACCTGCACATGTGCTTGAAATTATGCACGGGGTAGTCATAACTGAGTCCTTGATTACCGTTTTCCATGGTGGCTTGCGGGTTCAAAAATGGTCGGGTGCGGGAATTTGTGAAGAATATGGGGAGAGTAACGGGAAGCCGTTAGAAAGAATCCTGGGTGAATGCGAAATGATATACACGTACAATGAGCAAATAATAAGAAGTACAGATACGCATATGGGTAAGGTACTCATTGGTACCTGTACCTGTACCTCTAGAAATAGAAATACTCTGTACTTCGTACGTAGCCTCGAAACGGAAGGGGAGGAGCGATGCCCGGTCGCTCGCTACTTCCCAGAGGGGATCAACCTACTCCGTACCTACGCATGGGTATTCCATTATTATCGATTCCCGTGTCTCGGTCTAGCTGGATAGTCCTCGTAAACCTGCACGGTACAAGAACACGAGATAAGGTCAACTCCCTTACATAGGGTACAGCACGAAGAATGTTGCTGACTAAGATATCTTACTACATAGAGAATGCGTGTATATCTGCCACGCTACTATATCCCTTCGCCGCTTCCCCCCCGGCCTTTCCTTGGGAGAGTGAAAGTACTCGATTATCCGTTAGTACTCCGTATGCTTCCTGTCTGTACGAGAAGTAGAAGAAAGAGATAAATGCAGCGAGTTCCTGTTACCGATTTCGTCGAAGAAAGAGACCCGAGGCCCATTAAAGAGTGGCCAAGGAGGAGAAAAGACCAGATCGTGGGGAGCAAGAAAAAGAGAGGGGGGAAAAAAGACCCCTGTGGGAGTCTGGCGTACACGGAGATGGGTAGCTCTCCTCTCCGGCGTCTCCTTGTTCTCGTCTTCGAATAGGACCCCCTCGCCTGTGCAA